CTTGTCTGTAAGAAGAATATAAACAGCAATAAATCTTTTACCATGAAATGAAATAACATTAAATTAAAACTTTTATTGATTTTTGAATAAACGCGCAGAAATTACAAAATTAGCTGATTTTGAAAACTTCAATAAAAACTTTTTAGCAAAAATAACCAAAAAGTACACATTTCTGTTGTTTAATAGATAATTTTAACATTTAACGCTTTTAACATTTAACGTTTTTAACATTTAACGTTTTTAACATTTAACGTTTTTAATTTTTAACGTTTTTAACATTTAACGTTTTTAACATTTAACGTTTTTAACATTTAACGCTTTTAACATTTAACATAATTTTAACATTTAACGTTTAAACATTGTTAGACCATTTTTAATGCAATAGCTTTACCTAAATCTAATGTGAATCAATTGAGGGATTATTTAAGTCAGACAACAGTATTACCAAATGTTACAAGTAATGGTTTTTTTAAAAAAACAAAATTTGACTGGAAATTAAATATATTTAACAATATAAAAGGTATTGAAAACATATTAAAAAATTTTCAATTTTGTAAAGAGAGTTTTACAAAGTTATTAAGCTTAATTAAAAATAAAATTGCTAAAAACTGATAATAACAATAATAACGAGGTATATATGAAACACATACATATATACCACGTATGTAACTTATTTTTAATGTGTACTACACGTCTAGAAAAAAGTACTTAATAAAAAAAATGACTTAAATTATCTGCGAGCATCTTACAACTACAAACAAGTAACTCTTCTTATCAATCTTACACAAATTTAGTTTTTATCATATTTATAAACAAACATTATTTTGAAATATAGTAAACAAACTTTTAGTGTAACAGCTAAATACTCCCCAAAAAGTTCAGCTGATTTATTTTTATTTATTGTTTTTTTTATTTTAATTAGATGAATATATTTCTCGGATTATTTTTATGTTCACGTTATTATATTGTTGTAATTGGTACTTATTTTAATCGTGACACGGTGTTGTTGGCAACTATATTTTTATTTACTTCGTAAATTTCAAACTTTATGTTTATCATATTTATATTTTTATATCTCTACCGCCGATTTGTGATTGGTTACTTGTAAATACTTTGTAGCTTTAAAAAAAACCTGTATTTATATAAAAAAAAAAAAAATTTAAAGTTAAAAACTAGAATTTATTTTTGTAACGCGTATAAGGTTTCCTGACATGACGCTTGTAAAGTATAATGAAAAACTCACTCAAAAACCAATTTTAGTGCTAAACACGCCAGGTTTGAAAACATATTTGATAACATAGTTAGGGGTACAGAAAATAATATAATTTTTTTATATGCATAAATGTACAGTATTTCTAATTCCACGGTCTTTTCAAAAATATTATGCTTTTGTATAAAACGAATAAAAACAAAAATTATCAATGCATTAAAAATTGACTTTTGATTTAAAAACTTGTGGAGTCTGCAAAAATCTAGATAAAACAGACATTCATGAACAAGTGTTCCGAATTTCAACTATCAGGCATAAGCTTTGTTATCAAATTTTGGTCGGCCCATGACAGGTTTTCCATAAAAATTGCTAAATACAGAAAAGTGATCCTAAATCACTGACAAAATTTTTTACAACTTTTATATTTAATCCGTTAACGCAAATAATTATTTAACAAGAAAAGATAGATCTTTGCAATTAGAAGATGAAAGCGTTTATAGAAAAGAAAATCGCTATTTGAAAGTTATTGAATTTTTATACTTTTTATGCGAAATTTTTTTTTTTTTGCTGACGTGTTTTGCTAAACCGACGTAATACCCAATTTTACATCGTGTTAAACAGCCGTGTCAGGAGGGCAGTGATAAAGGTGTTTGTGTTTATGGTATCAGTTGATAACTACGCTTTTCTTAGGCAAAAGTTTTTTTTAGAGTGTTTATTATTTACTAGTACAGAGGGCATAGCAGCAAAATGTTAAGAGAATCAGATATTTATTAAAAAACGATAGTTGTTTTATCAATTTGTAAAATATATTTCTCCAAAGATACACATTTTAAGAA